AGGCTGGGTACATATCAGACAGCATGCCAGTCTATCACAGGGCACGCACAGAAATAGACACACAAACTCACACCATGGCCAGTTTTCCCAGAATTCCAGCAGTAGTTAACCAGTTAACCAGCCCAGTTAAGCCAGCAGTACGTCTTTGGACTGTAGGAGGAAACCAGAGCGCCTGGAGGAACGGGAGCACGAGGAGAACATGCCAGCTCCATGCAGACAGCAGCCCAGGTATTGAACCCAGGGCCACAGCACTGCTACCCACTGCACCACTGGAAGAACAGAATGCAAGAACAGTTTACGGAAGGAAAGCGATTGAGTAGGGTTGAGGTGAACATGAGGTTAAAAAGACCATGAGAACCCAGTGCTTTTCTTCTCATCGACAGGTCAACATGCAGAAGCAACAGCAAAATCTTTTGAATGAACACCTGCTGTGCAGTGGGGCTGCTGTGTCTCCCGGGTGGGCTCTGCCCGATATAGGAGGGGACTCACTTCATGTAAAGGGCATTAGGATCCTGTGGGATGATAAGCACTGTAAAATGCACATTACCACTACCAATACTCTTTTGTCAGGGTAGGGGTTTTCTGTCCAATAATCCTTGGAGTCTCCTCTTGAACTGGCTGTATCCAGGACATGAGTTGGCCTTGGATCCAAGCAGGCGCACAAAAAGTACTAACTTGTGGTGCGGACTGTATTATGGCTTCCAAAGCACCAGGGCCCCTCCCACAATGCACTGCGCACGCCCTCCCTAACGATTCCTATCTGGGATGCATTGTGCTGTTGAGAAAGAACAGTTTCTCTGCTCCTGAAGCCTGGCCCACCAACCATTCAGAAAACCATTCAGCCAACATATGGCTTGTCTCTCTCATTAAAACGTTTCCCCCAAAATACTATTAATGCAAATGTCAGCTCATTAGTACAGCCTATTAAATATTGCTGTATATGTCTAAGAAAAGTTGCTTAGACTATTTTTCAAGTGACTGCTACCTCTTTACGAATGTTCCATTTTTTCCCTATGGATAAGGGATCTCGGGCGTGCTATACTGAGGAAGCAGAATGGTTTAGCTTGGCTTCTTTTTTCTTTGTCCTTCGTAAAACATGTCATGACCTAAGGATGAAATGAAGCATTACAATGTTTTGGCTTTAACCTGTTTGCCTTGTTACAGCCAGGTTATCAGATTGAGCAACATGGCTGGGTATCTTGTTCCACACTCCCACCATCCTTTGTGTAAAGAATTAGCCGCTGTTCTACGTTTTATTGCATTTCAACATCATTTCTGTCCACTGATCCAAGGTTCACTATTGATTCTGCATTCACTTGATTGATTTTGTAGTCTTCCTTCTTCAAGACCAAAATCTTCAGTTCTTTCAGCCTGTCAGTGTAAGACATTGCTTGACGTCTCAGAATGCATCAGGTGGCTATTCTCTGGACTATTTCAAGAGCAGCAATATCTTTTCTGTAATGTGGTAGCCACGATTGTTCAAAAATATTCTAAATGGGGCTTTACTATTCCATTGCACACTTTTAGAACCTAACATCCTTTTGCGTTAAATTCTGAAGGTGTTCCAATTCTACTGTCCCTCCAAACAGAGCTGGGCTTCACAGCCTAGCTTAAACTGGTGGCTTAAAAGGAGATGCATATTTGTCATGTAGGTAATGATTAATTATCCATTACACATATTTTGTCTGCAGGTCAGACAGCTACTTATAATGGGCACTATAAATATCAGTGTAACACTGACAGCTGTACATGTTGAACACCACAGATCGGTGACCATTACACATTTGTAGTGCTGAAAGGAAATGTACGCGTACAGTATACAGACTGTTTAATTAACTAAGTGGTGTCATATGTATCTCCATTTCACTCCCCTGAAGCTATTTCTTTGCTCTTGTTGCTTGGTGTTTGGATATTTGGATAAGCACAACTACAGTGTTCAGAGGGGGGAAAGGAGGAAATAATTATCACGATGATGACTATTAATCACTTTCCAGAGTATTCCACTTGGTTTTTAGAAAGACTAATAAAATAAAGGGGAAATCCTGTGTATGGGTATTCTAGAAGAGACCTTTTTTTTTGTAATCATTATTAAAATTACACAACAAATCAGCCATTAAATATTCTGCATTTGCCCTGTAATGGGCACATGCACTGTCTGAGGGATTAGGAAATCCAGGGATTACAGCACAGCCCCCACTCTCCAGGTACAGGAGGCGTGATTATCCCAGACTGCCTTTATTTCCTATAGCCTGATCATTATGTTTGTCTGAAGGGCAATAACACACCAGTGGGCAGCACGCACGATGCCGCAGTGGTTAGCATTGCTTTTTTGCAGTGCTAGGGCCCTGGGTTCAATTTTGGACCTGGGGTGCTGTCTGTGAGGAGTTTGCATGTTCTACCCGTCTCAGTGTGGGTTTCCCCTGGGGGCTCCGGCATCCTCCCACAGTCCAAAGAGACACGCTGGGACATCAATTGGCTTCTTGTGTGAGTGTGTGCATGTCTGTGTCTGTGTGTGCCCCGTGGTGCAGTTCAAAATTCAGTGTCTACCATTTTGTCCAGCTGTCCAGAAAAACACATTATCTTCCGTCCCTCACAAACACCAACAGCGCTGTTCCGTACCGCGGGAACCACACCCTTTCTATCACAGTGCCATCAGCACTCTACACGGCGGGATGTACAGTAGGTCACAGACAAGCGAAGGCTCATGATGGTGACCTTTGTAAGGGCAGATGGCGTGGATGTCCAGTCTTGTTTGAAGTTTGGAGACGATCCCTCAGCCGTGAGAGTGTGGTCCAATACTTTTCTCCAATCTCATCTCCTGCTCTGCTGCTCCCTGCCCCGTGTGGCACTACAGCTGCAGCATCCTCGTGTGTCCCTAGACATCGCGCCGGGTTGGATGGCTATGTATCATCTTGTTCTGGAGGAGGGCGCGAGGCTCAGGAAGCTACTGGCTGATATTTTGAGACCGGCAGCAAGACCTCCAGCAGGGAGTTATGTTGCGAAGGATATGATTGCTGTGCGATAACAATAAATTGGTTTCTTTTCCATTCTGAGGGTGCGTATCTTTGGGGAGGTGGGTGGCAACACCTCACCCACCTCAGGGGTGGACTGGTTACTCTCCAGAGCATTCTAACTGCCTTTGGTACAGTACATCTGGTGTTGTCTGGGGCTTTGCAGATCCCTGGCTCTTGACAGGTCTCTGTGACAGTAAAATGAATCTGGGTACCAACTCCATACAGCACACGAACAGTCTGCTGAGACAAGACACGTCAAAACCCAGTCCTGGGCAGCTGGGCAAAATTGTTCACATATCATAATTAGCCTGGCAGTTCGGAATGAACTAAAAAAAGGAAGAGCAATGAACACAGTCACATTCAAAATGTCTGTGTTTGGTCAACCAGACTGGTTGGTAAAAGGTTAGGTTGTTCAACGAAACCTAACGGACTTTACAGTAGAGAACAGACAGGCCTGGGTGGGTGAAACAGCCTTCTGCAGTTTCAGTCCATTTCTAATGTCCTTGTGCTGTCGTGGAGCACAGCAGGAGTCTGATCCAGGCTTGACGTTTGCTTCACCACTTTCACTCTCGCTCTTTCTCTCTCTCTCTCTCCCGCTGCAGGTGGTTGGCTTGGAAAAACATGTGGGAAAGACGCTGGAGTACCTGGAGCTGGGGGCAGCCGTCAAAACCCTGCCGTATGGCATGGCGGAAGTAGGCGGGGGAGGAGGAGGAGAAGGAGATGGAGGTGGCGGGGTCATCAAAGCTCCCTTCCACACCTCCCGGATATTTTCCACAATGGACCACAACCCGCTGAAATCCAAGCCCCCGACCTACAGCTTCCTGAACCCCTACGACTGGGCCAGGAACCAGTCTCTCCTCCTGGACCAGACGGGCTACCGCTCCAAGCGCAAGCCCTCGCTCAAGACGGCGCTGAAAACCAAGAAGATCTTCGGCTGGGGCGACTTCTACTTCAACATCAAGACCGTGAAGTTCAGCCTGCTGGTGACGGGCAAGATCGTGGACCACGTCAACGGCACCTTCAGCGTCTACTTCCGCCACAACTCGTCCAGCCTGGGCAACGTGTCTGTCAGCATCGTCCCGCCGACCAAGGTGGTGGAGTTCGAGGTCCTGCAGCAGCAGCAGCAGCCGCCGCCTGAACACCCCCAGCAGGCCACCATCGACCACAAGGAGTCCAAGAACTTCAACTGCCGGGTGGAGTACGAGAAGACCAACCGGGCGCGCAAGACCAAGCCCTGCCTGTACGACCCCTCGCAGACGTGCTTCTCCGAGCACACCCAGAGCCACGC